AAAAAAAGCAAAAAAAAAAAAAAAAGGCAAGAGGCCATTTACCCACTCTCACGGGAAACCCAGTTAAGGGGAAGATTTTCAGTCCTGCTTTTAGCCTTTGTTCTTGCTGCCTCAGCCCAAGCGATTGTAGCTCTATTATGAAATAACTTTGCCCTCCAGGGGTATAGTTACCTGGAACAGAGCAAATTTGGCCCCAACATTCTGCTCGCCCAGGTGCAGCTTGGCCTGACGGAGGAGGATGGCCAGGGTCCAGAGAGCCAGCAAGGTGGACACGGCGAGCAGTGTGTTGATCCAGAGCGCAGTGCTCTTCTCTGAAATCTGGTGGCAGCCCGGAAGCAGTCAGGGAGGGAGCAGGCCCTGCCCTCCTCATATTCTCTCCCATGTTTCGGAAAATGATCAGAAGGCTGCAGTGCACTGGCCAACTCCAGCCTCGTCCCTCTCCCCTGGAGTCCCTGGACCTGAGCTTTTCCACAGCTTCCTTGGCCCTGGGGCCTGGGGCTGGGGCTGCTGGCGCCCGCTGTGCCTTCTGGGGCCCAAAGGTACCGAGTGATCTTGGACTTCACCACCCACTCCTCGGGCTTACATCTGCTGGATTGTAGATGCCGTCGGGGATGAGGAAGAGGCCGACCAGGCCCAGTGAGATCCTGAAGAAGGAGTACTGGAAAGGGCCCAGCATCAGCAGCTGCAGCTTCTTCCTGAGGGGAAGGGGGGCAGCACGTGGGCCCACACACCCACCCCAGATGCCTCTCCCCGCACAGACCCAACGGGGCTCCATGAGGCTGGGCACCCTCCTTGCCTCTCTCCCCTCCACACCAGCACCTGCCCTGGAGCCAAGGGTGTTGACCCCAGCGCGTCAGTCACAGGGGGCAGAGGGGCAAGGCGGCGGCTTCTCTCCCCTGTGAGCTGGGCATCTGCTCTCCCTTCCTCGGCTTTGCCTCACCTGGTGAGCAGCATGGGGGGGCAGCAGGGGCAGCAGCAGCAGCAGGGCCCCGTGTGTGTCCTCATCGGGGTGTCCTTCAGCGTCCTCAGCACCACTTCCTTTCCCCCAAAACCTTCCACCATGACCAGCATGAGCAGGTAAAAGCACACTGAGTAAAACCTGGGGCAGGGGAGAAGCAGGGCACAGGTGCATAGGGGCGGCGGAGGGAACACCCCGTTGCTGCCTGGAGACTAGAGTGGGTTAGGTGAGGAACACATCGGGATGGTGCTCTGGACTGTGACCGAGAGGAGGGGGAGAGGACTGGGCTGTGGGGACAAAGAGGTAACGGGAACACGCCCAAAGGAGGCCTGGGCAGAACCGGAACCGGACATTCGGAGCCTCGGGTCAGCACAGGCTGGAGGGCAGATTCCTGCACAGCAGGATCAGAGGCGCGGGCGCGAGGCCTAGGCAGCGGACACTCACGAGACAACGGCCATTTCCACGAGTGTGAGCGCGCGAGGGATCCAGAGACCGAAGCAGCAGAACACAGACACCACCTGCGTGCGGAGGAGCAGGCAGCAGTTAGGGCAAGGAGAGGCGAGGGTGTGTGTGTGGCTGCGGCACAGCTGCGACCTGCGAGGCCAAGCTCCATCCCCAGCACCAAAATACGCAGTAGAAAGCAAAGGTTGCCACTGGAATAATAAATGGAAACCAACAAACCAGGTGATGGTCATAGGGAAAAGTCATCCCCTCCCGCACTCTGGGGAACCACTGCCTGCCCTGTGTTTGGCTTTTGTTTTGTTTCTGAGATGGGGCCGCACTGTATAGCCCAGGCTGGCCTTGAGCTTGGGGTCACCTTCCTGCCTCAGCCTCTGGAGTGCTGTGTGCCTGGGGTGCAGCAGGCTCTCCTCCACTTGTTCACACCCTTGGAACTGGAGCTGCTGGCCGGGCTTCCGGCTCCCGCCCCCATCCCGGTGGCAGGGCCAGGCGGACTCAGCCAACAGACTGGCGTTAGAGGCCTTCCCAGACAGTCCCGCCTCCTTCCAACCCTCACCGTGGGTGCAGAGCTGCTCCACAGCAGGGTTCTGCGCTTGATTGGACAGCCGGTGTTCTTGTGCAGGTAGATGGCGTCCTCCAGGAAGATGCCCACCGACCCCAGAGCCAGGAGGGTCATGATGACCGTGAGGGTCACTTCCATGGGGCTCAGGACTACAGTGGAGGGAGGAAAGGCCAGTGAGCGGAGCAGGAGCTCAGTTGTCCCTGCAGGCTGTGTAACTTCAAACAATGGTTCTGAGCCTTTTTCAAATGGGACTTTCAGAAGCTGGGCATGGTGGCACACACCTGTACTATAATCCCAGCACTCAGGAGGCTGAGGCAGGAGGATTACCTCAAATTTGAAGCCAGGCTGGGCTCCATAGTGTGTTCAAGACCAGGCTGGACTATATGGTGAGACGCTGTCTCAAAAAACAAAAAATAAAGTGATCGTGGACATAAAACCTACCATACATCAAAATAATTCCAGCTGGCTTAAAGAGATGTCTTTGGAAATCAAATGGGGAAATTAGGGAAAGAGTTGTGTGTTCATTGAAACACTGGGGAGGGAAGACCAGCCTAAGCATCAGAGTAATCCCAAAATTTACAAAGAGAGTAATAGTCAAATTCAATATCAAAAGTTCCAATTCCTCAATGTTAAAAGAAAAAAGAAGCAGGAAAATATTTTTTAATAATGTACACTCAGGTTTAAGATCTTTATTGCTTGGGGCTGGGGATTTAGCTCAGTGGTTCCACGCCCACATTGCAAGGGCAAGGTCCTGAGTTCGATCCCCAGTACTGGGGAAAAAATTAGTGGTAAAAACAGAGAAGGCTCCTGCAGACAAATGGGCAAATGATACCTCGCTAAGAGCACGTGGGAAAATATTCCAGAGTGTATGATGTGGTTGACTGGCAGCTTTAAATTAGAAACAAATGCCCAACCATACGGGAAATATTAAGTAAATCACTCAATAAAGTAATATACAGGTGTGAAAATATGTACATGCCATAAAAATCTTTGCAATGAATATGGAATAATTTATTTTGAAAATATTACCACGAATATAGATTTGGTAGCTTGATTTACATGAAAGGTGCCCCCCAAAACTCTGGCAGAGTTTATTAAAATTAAACATTCGCCTGTCCTATGGCCCAGCAATTCCATCCCCAGACACACAGCCCATAGAATGCAGCAGTTAAAATCCCCACAGAAACGTTGCCAGCAGAATGACTCAAAACAGCCCCTCTAGGAGCTTGCGTGACCTCCAGGGAGCGTGCAGGCCAGTGCGTGGTGACTATTCCCACAGTCCACACAGCACAACAGATTCACCGCAGAAACGGGGCCAGGATGATGGAGGCAGCGGAGGGGAGCCAGGGCCCATACTCTGTGCTCAGGCAAAGTTGGTGGTGGTGGGGCATCCACTCGGAGGAGGACGCTCGATGGCGTGACCTGGGCTGTGCCAGTGAGGGTGCTCGAGACCCTGCGGCTGCTCAAAGGATTTGTATCTTTGCGTGACGGCTTTATGAATTTTTTTTAGAGGCAAAATTAACGCAGCTCTTTTTTGTTTGTGCTGCGATGGAACTCAGGTCCTCGTGTTTATAAGGCACATAGTGGCACCACTGAGCTAAAAATCCTGGCCCCGGCTTTGGGTTTTTGAAGCAAGATCTCCTTATGTAGGTCAGGCAGGCAGTGATCCTCCTGCCTCAGCCTCCCAAGTGCTGGGATGACAGCATGTACCACCACATCTGGCTAAACCTGAACTGTTTTTTTATAATAGAAATGTTTAGTTCCGAGAAAATAGAGATAAAAGGTAAAGTCCAGATAGGAAAAAAACAAAATGATTTCTAAACATTGACCCTGCATTACTGGGAGTGATCACTGCCAGCCCAACGGCTCCATGCCGCTACGCTGGACCTTGGGTCACCGAGTGCGACCCCTTCACTTTCCCACATGACAGCCTCCTCACGAGAGGGTCTCTAGGGTGGGTGCTCTCCACACCCGGCCTCCTGCGCTCAGACCGTGCTGCGGGAGATGGGCCCGGGGCGCTCTGCCCTCGGAAAGGACCTGGAGCTGGGCCGGGGAACGAGGTGGGCAGGGCATGGGTTACGGTGACGCCTGCGGAAACCCTCTTTACCCCGAAGTCGGCCCACACAACAAAGCAGCGCGGCCCACCCTGTCTCTGCGCCTTGAGGCTTAGGATTTCACGACCATTCCTCCGTCCTCCTGGCCAGGTGCCCGAGTGCCCAGTGGTCAGCAGCTCACCAGTGGCTGTGCGGGGCGATCCCCGGAGGGAGGAATCCCAGGGATGTTCTGTCTCCCAGTGCCTGGAACAGGGACTGCTCCCAAGTACTGGTGGAATGACAGAAACCTCTCTGCACCGATTCCTCCTGCCACCCCCATTTTAGAGGCTTCGGCAGGAACAGGCTTGGAAAGTCAAGCACCTCACCGGGGGACGGAGCCAGGAATAAAGCAGTTCCTGATTCAAAGCCCAGACTCAAAGCCATCCCACACGGACTTGGTGTGTGTTCTCCTGGCTACAGAGGTGCATAAAGATGGGAGGGGCCAGGTGGCACTGGAGTGATCACAGCACTCAGGAAGCTGAGGCAGGAGAGTCACCACAAGCTCGAGCCCAGCCTGGGCTACACTGTAAGACCCTGTCTCAAAAGACAAAAAACAGCTGGGGATGTAGCTCAGCTACACTGTGTGGCAAGTGGAAAGGTCCTGAGTTTGATCCTCAGTACAAAAAAAAAAAAAAAAAGCCCCAAAAAACCCCAAACCCTCTATTTTCATAAATCATTCCTTAGTTGTAATGTTCCAAGGAAGGCACTTTGGAAAATACTTTACATCTGATCATTTTGAATATAACTTTAGCAACTGTAAATTTTTTTTCAGATTTCATTCATTTTTTTCTGTGAAAGCCTTTATGTTGTAGCTACTAGCAACTGTAAATTTTGCATTATGTCTAGAGTAGATTAGAATACTTTTTTAAAAAATGAAAATAGGGCTGGGGATTTAGCTGAGTGGTTCCACCGCCTGCCTCACAAGCACAAAGTCCAGAGTTCCATCTAAAAAAAAAAAAAAAAAAAAAAAAAAAAAGAAAGAAAGAAAAGAAAGCAACATAAGAACATGATGTAAAATTTTGGAAAAAGGAATCAGCCATAATTTCAGCTTCTTCCTTCAAGAACATTCTTGTGTAGTCTCTTCCTAGAGGTTAGGAGCCAGTGGAATCAGACCGGAGGTGAAAGGCCGCCTCTGCCTCTGGAGAATCCTGCAGGGTGCCGGATTCAGGATTCGCTGGGGCAGAGTGCCCGGTGCATGATGTTAGATCAACAGAAAGCAGCTACTAAGAAACATCTGATTAAGGGGCCTACAGGGTACTGTGTAAAACTGTATATTTTTTTTCATCTAACATTTCAGCAGTCTTTCCAAATCTATTTTTATAATTATTTTAAAATTATAAAATATTTTAAAATAGAGACTAGAACAAGAATTAACATAACCACAATCCATTTTAACTTGTAAGATATTGCTGCTTTTGTTTCACAGTTATTTATGAAAATAAAATATTACAGATACTTTTTTTTTTCTTTTTTGTAATGATGCCTTGCTATATAGTCCAGGCTGGCCTTGAACTCACAGCAATCCTGCTGCCTCAGCCTTCTATGTGCTGGGATTATAGGCATGTGCCACCATGCCCGGCTGTATTACCTAACATTTTAAAAACCTATCTAAATTACTGGGCGTGGTGGCGCACACCTGTAATTCCAGCACTCGGGAAGCTGAGGCAGGAGGATCACTGTGCGTTCGAGACCAGCCTGAGCCACATAGTGAGTTCCAGGTCAGTCTAAACTATGGGGTCTCAAAACCCCCCAAAAAACAAAAACAAAGACAAAACTATCTAAATCACATCATCCTGCAAAACACTTTTTCTACCTAACCTTGTTTTCCTGAGTTCTGCTATTTTCATTGTGACAAACACGCTGCAGTCAGCATTCCTGGATGTGTCCCCTTGGCACATGTAGCGCTACTTTGTGACTCACACCTAGGGTTAAAACAGCTGGGCTGCCAAGGGTGGTGGCGCACGCCTGTAATCCCAGCACTCGGGAGGCTGAGAGGATTGCCGAGAGTTCAAGACCAGCCTGGGCTACATAGTGAGTTCCGGGCCAGCTTGGATTATATAGTAAAATCCTGTCTCAACAAAACGAACAAACAAACAAAAAGCCCTCAAAACTACGATGCTGGGCGGGGGGTGAGGACTTTCAGTCTCAGCGGTATCATCACACTGTAGAGTGGATGCATTCATCCATACTCCTCAGGCAGTGCGTGGGGACCACGTTCCAATGAGCACCCACCAGCGCTTGGGTGGGGACCTAAGCGTAACTGTGGCCTCCTTGCTTGGAAGCACCGTTTTGCCCATCAGGGTGACACTGACGTGCTTCCCAAACACAGTAGGGTGAACAAAATTACTTAAGATAGTCACCCAGGCTGGACATCAGGGTGCACACCTGTAATCCCAGCACTTGAGAGGCTGAGGCAGGAGAATTGCCACGAGTTTGAGGCCACCCTGGGTAGTGAGTTCTAGCCCAGCCTCAACTATATAATGAGACCTTGTCTTGAAAAAACCAAACCAAACCAAACAACCTGATTTTTAAAGATTTTTCCAGAATAGCTCTTTCTTAAATAATGATTTAAGAAATGATTTGCCAGGTGTGGTGGCGCACACCTGTAAGCCCCGCACTCGGGAGGCTGAGGCAGAAGGATCTCCATGAGTTCAAGGCCAGCCTGAACTACACAGTGAGACCCTCTCTCAAGAACAGAAAAAACAAACAAACAGAAACCACACACACAGATTTAAGAAACCATGGCAGTTACGAAGGAAGCAAGGAGATTCAGCACGGCCTCCATCCTCTCCCTCCTTCCCGATCCTGGGTCACCGCTTTGGCCCCGACATCTGAACACTGCCCGCTCCCTACCCTTGTCCGGGTGCTCACGAATTCCACTTGCCTTCCCTCCTCCCTTCTCCGCAGGGCAACAACCTCTCATCTCCCTGCTTCTCAAGCCCTCTCCCAAGTCCACCCTGATTACTGATTAACGTCCCCACGCTGCCCAGCCCCACCTAGCTCTTCCGCTCTGGGAGAAAGTACAGGCTCAGCCGATGCAGCATTCCTGCCCTGCTCCCCCACCACAGCCTTGAATCCTGCCGGACCCAGCTCCCCCGTGTCTCATTTAGCTACCAACGCCACCTGCGTGGCACCCCCGGGGCCCACCTGCTCTCCTCCCCTGACTGCCAGACCCAGATGGTCCCCTACTTCAGTCCCATTAGGCCCTCTCTTCCCACATTTTAAAGCCGAGCACTGTGAGAGCTATTTTGTTGTGCTGTAAGGGACGGTCCTGGGCGCTGCAGGAGACTTAGCAGCCTCCTGGCCTCTGGCCACCAGACATCGGCGGCAACCTCCCGTGTGGCAACCCAAACCGTAGCCAGACCTTGCCCAATGTCCCCTGAGCCGAGAGCCACCTGTGTGAGGGAGACTTGGCCACCAGCTGCACTCTGAGCCGGAGGTTCCCGAGCGGGGTAGAGTAGCCCCTGGTGGCACCAAGCCCCGCGCACCAGATGGCATCTCGGGGCAGCCTGGCAGATGGCAGCACGGGCGAGGGTCCAGAGCAGTGGGAGCGGAGCTGTGGCCCGAGGGCAGCCACCCCACGTCCCTAGCACCTGACAGCACCACGCTTGAGGGGACAGCAGGCAGGGCCCGGAGAAGCACAGGGTGAAACGGAGATTCCTACTCCACAGCTCAGAGGCCGGGATCACGCAGCAGGAAAACAACATGCACGCAAGGCGTTGGCTAGAGATGCAGGGCTTGGAGTCTCTGTCTCCCCGTGCAGGGAATGAACTGAGTCCCATCCACGCCTTTCACTTTGAAAAGCAACTCAGCCGTGGGCCGGGGATTTAGCTCAGTGGTGCCACCGTCCGCCTTGCAAGCAAAGGTCCCGAGTTTGATTCCCTGGTACCAAAAAACCAAAAACCACAAAAGCTCAGCCATAAGATCAAGCTCATGGCTTACAACAACCACTGCTGGGGGTGCTGAGGCTCCTCTCCCGAGGGGGGGCTTGGGGGTTTTTCGTTTGTCTGTTTGAGACAGGGTCTGGTTATGTAGTTTTCAGGCTGGCCTTGAACTCAGGGTAGCCCTCTTCCCTTAGCCTCCAGAGTCCTGGGATTATAGGCCAGAGGACCTGTGGGACTTGAATCGTTTGGGGAGTTGACCTCAGCCATTACGGATGTGAAGCCGGCCAGCCCAGGCTGTCCAGGCCAGCCCACGCGGGCCCGCTGCTCCCCAGCTCCCAGCTGTCCTGACTTCCGACTGGGGTGCTCAGCTCCCCGTCCCCTCCTCCTGGGACTATCCCTGTTGGGCTGGGGGAGACTCACCTTGCAGGAGCTGGGCTGCCGTGGGAGGGTATGAGAAGCAGGCAGCTGGGACACTGTAATTGGTTCTCAGCACTTCCAGCAGCTCTGCTGTGTACCTGAAGAGACAGAACTGCGTTTCAATCATGGGGCTGGGAGTTGGTGATTGAACCCACGCCTCTGCACTGAGCTACATCCCCAGCCCTTTTCTTGTTTGAGGCAGGCTCTCACTGTCACTAAGCTACCCGAGCTGGGCTCAAACTAGCAAGCCTCCTGCCTCAGCCTCCCAGATTGCTGGGATCATAAGCATGTGCCAACCACCTGCTTCCTGGAGAGGAGTGTGTAAGATAAGGTGTGTAAGATGAGCTGCCAGCTGCCTGGGCAGGCCCGGCTGCAGTGCCCAAAGAATTCCCAGTTCTTTCACTTCCTCAGGGCAGAGCCCAGAGGCTGGCTGGAAAGAAGGAGTCAGGGAAAAAGTAGCCCTGTGCATGAGGGAGGGCCCTGACGGCCAGGGCTTCAGGAACTCTTCTACAGCTTCTCCTCTAGGACCTTCTTCTTCTCTTTTCTTTGGAGTCAGGGTCTCACCATGCAGTCCAGGCTCGAACTCACAGTGATCCTCCTGCCTCAGCCTCCCAAGTGCTGGGATTATAGGCGTGGGTCACCACGCCTGGCTTGTCTGGGATCTTTCTTTTCCTAGCCTTCAGGACAGAGCTGAAGTCCTGAAGGGGTCCCAGGCTGCCCCATCCCAGGTTCCCTAAAGACTCAGGGCACAGCTGGGCCACTTAGCCCTGTCGTGAGTCTGTAAGTCAAAGGGTGAGGAGGCAGGGAGGGGCAGGCCAGTGCGCTAGGGGCCACTGTTGCTTAGCAATGGGCTGCCAGCCCAGGGCTTGCTGCCCTCACTCACCTGGGGTCAAGATTTATCTGAGTCCTGTCTGGGTCCATCGTTTGCTTTCTCTCAGGCAGGCAGGGTGGGGAGGGAGAGGCACTGAGGGGCTTCTGCTGGCTGCTGGCTGCTGGCCTTTTCCAGAGCACCAGGCTGGGGCAGGGTGAGTGAGAAGATCGTCCCCTCCAGCGCCCTCCCTCCTTGGGCCTCCAGTGCCAACCTGCCTTCTCCAGAGCTCACCCTGGAGGAATTTGATCCCGGGCTTCCCGGCTCTGGCTCCTCCCCGTCCTTAGGCGAGGTTCCTCCTGCCTCAGGGATGAAGGCCTTGGCCCACCCCCTTCTGCATCCTCCTCTATGTGGGAGACAGAGCTCCTCCTGCTGGCTGGGCTGGGGACAAAGTGCTACTCCTCTTGCTCACCCGGTCAGGAGGTCTCCTGGAGAGGGGAGCTGGGGCTCGGGCCTGGCCGTGCCTGCTGCCGTGGACTGCAGCGTGGAGGGGAGTCCCTGGCCAGCCCAGGTGGGTCGATGACAGGCACATCTGGGCAGACGCTAGGCCCGAAGTCAGCCAAGAGGAAGCCGCATTTCTCAGGTGTACAGTGAGAATGCTGAATGTTTCGACAGATTAAAAAACTGCCAAGTTTTGTGCTCGTGAACTGTTTGATTGGCTGCTGGTGCCTCTTCCTTCTTCAAATCAATTTAAACCCTACTGAGGCCAAACTGTGAGTTCCTCCCAAGGTTCCCAGCATGGAGCCTGGCACATACGAAGAGCTTCTTAGATTTTGGATGTTTAGCAGATAAAGTCACAGCAGGAGCAGCAGCTGACGCTGAAACAGGGTCTTGCTATGTCGTCCAGGGTGGCCTTGAACTCATGGGTGATCCTCCTGCCTCAGCCTCCTGAGTGCTGGGATGACAGATGTGCACCACGACGCCCAGCCCACATGTACTGGTCAAGCACGGTGTCCCAGGTGGTACGGAAGTGTCGCACGCTCCTCATCCATGCCACAATCACTCATAAAGGGCGCTCCATCTTCATTCTCATTTTACAGATAAGGAAGCTGAGGGCAAGTGAGTTTAGGAAACTGGGCTAGAGGTTGAGGGGTGTGGAGAGGGCCAGTCTCTGTGGTGGTTTGGGGACAATTTTTTTGTTTTGTTTTGTTTTGTTTGAGACAGGGTTTCACTTTGTAGTTCAGGCTGGCCTTGCACTCACTATGTAACCTAGGCTGGCTGAGAACTCTTGGTGATCCTCTTGCCTCAGCCTCCAACTTCTGGGAGCAAAGGCATGTGCCACCATGCCCAGCTTGGGACTATTTCAGACGAGAGAAAAGGGCCCCTGAGAGGGTGGGAAGAGCAGGTTCTGGGAAAGCAGGTGCAGGACAGGAAGCCTTGCTGACCTGGTGCCGTCTCTTGTCCCCAACACCTCAGAAGAACTCTCAAGGGGGAGCAGGGTCCCCAACTTTGCCTTCCTCTGAAGCACAGTTCTCGGGCAGGACAGTATGACGACCTGGGAGTTTCAAGGGCCCCCTGAGGTGGAAACGGAGGCAGGAAAAGGAAACAGGGCACTGACCCCCCAGGCAATGACCTCAGCCCCACCCTGACCCAGGCACACGCTGACTCAGCTTCTTCCAGCGGCGTCTGCCCGAACGTTCCAGGTTATTGTTCTGGCATGGTGAGAGGCCTTGAGCGCAAAACCCCTGAACTTTAGACTTCCCTGGAGCAGATAACAGGGTGCCCGGGACCTGCCCCAAACTTCTTCAGGACAGGGTTGACAGCGGGAGGGGACAGTGGCTTGAGAGAGATGGGATGTCCTCGGGATGGGCAGCCAATGAGGGGGCAGGAAGGGTGAGGCTCTGTCCCTCCCGGGTCCCTAAGCAGCTGCAGTCTCTCTCAAGTGGCCCTCAGATTAGAGCAGGGCCACCCCAAGTCAAGGCCAGGCCCCCACCACCAAGGCTTGGCCCAAGAGGACAGATGGGCAGAACTAGGTTCCTCTCTCCTCAGTTCTGGGCTTTGTTAGTCTAATACTGACTTTCAGAGCCAAGAAAAATAAATCCTTTTTACCCTCCTGCTTTTTTGCGGGGAGGGGGGCTTAATGTTTCTCACAAAATTGTATAATAATATTACTTTCATTTTGACTTTCTTTGAAAAAGTCATTTCTAAAACATCAAAAACAAAATATCAAGCGGTGCATGGGGGCGTTATAATAATATTACTTTCATTTTGACTTTCTTTGAAAAAGTCATTTCTAAAACATCAAAAACAAAATATCAAGCGGGGCATGGGGGCGTACCCCTGTAATCCCAGCACTTGGGAGGCTGAGGCAGGAGGATCGCTGTGAGTTCAAGACCAGCCTGAGCTACATAGTGAGTTCTGGGTCAGTCTCAACTTCATAATGAGACCCTGTCTCAAACCCACCCCCCCAAAAAAACCCCACAATATATCGTTTCTTCAGTTTTCCACAGGACTCCTTAAGTATTTGATATTTAAAGACCATTTCTCTTTTTTATTTTATTTTATTTTTAAATTTTATTTTTTTATTTTGCTGGCCTTGAATGTGAAGCAGTCTTCCTGGCTCAGCCTCCTGAGTACTGAGATTACACTATGCCGGATCTCTTTTTACATTTAATTTAATTTTTTTTTAAAAAAAAAAAACAGGGTCCTGCTATTTAGCCCAGGCTGGCCTTGAAGCCCTGGCTGCCACTTCTATCTCTCTCCCCATGGATTCCTCTGTTCTGGCCACTTCCTGTGGACGAACCACGCAGGGCCCCTACCACTCCTGTGAGTTGGGGCTTCCAATTCAGACAGTAGCTCTGGGAGATGGAGTCCAAGAGGTCACAGGAGGAACCCGAAGGAGACTGCCGACAGGCGGGCACTCTGAACCTCTTGGAGACCCTCCTCCACGGCATGGTGCCTATGGTTTTGAGCCTCTGCCATCCAGCTGGTAGCTTTTCTTCCTTTATCAGGGTCCTGATATGGTCACTCAGACCGATATGGAACTGGGAAAATGGCTACATTTGCCAAATCAGTTCTGCAGCAGGCTGAAGGGTTCTGAAGCCACCTCTCGGCACCCACTTGAGAAGTTAGCAGATTCAGAGGTCTGGGCATTAGCGGCTTCCTGGGCAACCTCTGCCATGTCTACAATGGGGGCACCAGCCATTGTGTGTCCCAAAGATAAGATCTAAACTTGAAAATAATCAGCCTTGAAAACTAGAAATCAAAAATGCCAGTACTGGGCCAGGTGAGGCGGCATGCACCTGTCATCCCAGTACTCAGGAGGATCAGGAGGCTGAGGCAGGAGGATCATCATGAGTGCCAGGCTATCCTGGGCTACACAGTAAATTCAAGGCTATCCAGAAAGAAAGGAAGGAGAGAGAGAGAGAGAGAGAGAGAGAGAGGGAGAGAGAGAAGGGTAACCACCTCTTCTGACCAGGCCCTACCTCCTAATAGGAAAATTACCAACCAAACATGTGAGGCATTGGGGCCATTTTAGGTCTGAGCCCTAACAGTAGCCCTTGACTGGAGATTTCTGTCTCCCAACTACATCAAGATACTTGTGCTGATGAAATCCTAGGCCATGGCTTCAAGGACCAGATCTGTGACATATTGCAAAAATTCAACATCAATACCCACTTTTGTATTGGTGCATTTTATTGGTACATGATGATAACGCTCATCACAAGGGTTTTACTTACACGTGATGCGCGCCGCTTCTTTTCCTCCAGTCTCCTCCCCTTCCCTCGATCCCTTACGCTCCTTATTTACAAAAGCTTTGTTTTCTTTTTCCTTCTGTTCTCTTTTAATACATTTTACTGTGTTTTACCCCTCCCATTCCCCTCCCCTCCCGATGTACAAAAGCTTGTTTCCAGCTGGGGATTTAGCTCAGTGGCACCACATTTTCCTCCCAAGCCCAAGGCCCTGAGTTCGATCCCCAGTACCAGACAGAACAAAAGCTTGTTTCCATTTCTCTCCTATTTTCACTTCTATCCTGTCCCTTCTCTCCTTCCCCTCTTCCTTGTTACCTTCCCCTTTGAACATTTTCTCCCATTTCCCAATATCTTTTATACAGTCTGGTCCTTATTGCCACGTTGGGTTCGGTGCCTCACACTGGAGAAACAATGCAGTATTGAAACGTGTGTCCGATTTATTTCACTGAACAGCGTGGTCCCAAGGGTTTCCGTCCATTTAGTGAGAAATGTCTCAAGCCTACTCGTTATGGCAGAGTAGTGCTCCATTGTGAAAACAAACAAAAACCCAAAACCACATCATCTTTACCCGTTTGTCAGTTGCTTTAGCTGTCACAAACTGTGCTGCTGTGGCCATGGGTGAGCATGTATCGCTGTGGTGTGATGCTTTTAACTCTCTCAGGAAGGTGCCAAGAAGGGGAACAGCTGGGTCAAATGGAAACTAGTTTTAGTTTTGTTTTTGTTTTAGAGACACCTGTGGAACTTTATTGCAGCACTGATTTTTTAAATTCTCTCCTAATACTGGAGACTGAACCCGCAGCCTTGGTGAGGACCTGCATGCCCAGCACCTTTTTCCTTTAATAAATTTTAGTTTGGTTTCTACAGGACACAAACACAGAAGGATCACACCTAACATCTTCATCGTATTCAGCACCCTCTCCCCCTCCACAGCTCCCTCCCGACTGAACATTTTTCCAGTTCTGCGGGGAGCTTGGTCCCGTGCAGCTCAGGACCCTCCAACTCGCTCTGCCGCCGGGCCGGACCCCACAGCCCTCAGGCTTCCCACCTCCCGGCTGCTGGGCCCCCCACCGTGGCTCAGGCCTCCGGGGTCC